TTCTGACCCAATAGTTTTGTTATTTTGACTGTTGAACACACATTAGAAGGAAAACCTCGACAACAACGAGTAAGTGCAGCTTGAGAAACGATTCGAGGTCAAAGGAGGGACATAAGGAAACTTTTGTAGAAGTTTTTATCTTCTTCACAGCCACAAAAAGTCTGTAGCTTCTACATTTTTCTCTGTTGGTTTCTGTCTCAGGGTGAACTGTGAGAGAGGACTCAACCCAAAACCCTTTTCTATTTTGTATAATGAGACTTCAACCCGAGTTAACAGCCTGCGCGCCGCGTCCTGAGCCGGAAAAAAGTTTCAAATGCACGATCTTACAAAAAAGTGTGACCCACAGCAGTGCTGCATGAGAAAAGAGAAACTGCTAATTGCCTGTAAGAAACTTGTCATTTGACCTGAGAAAGCCCTTCGTCTTTTCTTGTGGACCGGCGGTGGAAATGGGGGTGGAACTGAGCTGTAATTGGTTTCTGTTTACCAGTAATCCTGCCACTGACACAACCACAAGCAATTAGCCAGACAGCTCATCCTTTATCAGGTCAGAACTGGCACAGTGAGTGTGTGTGTGTGTGTGTGTGTGTGTGTGTGTGTGTGTGCTAGTCATGAGGGAGGGTCTAATTAGGCTGAGGGAGACATGAGATTAAAATCAGCTCCTTTGTCCTGGTTTCTTTGGGTCTCTTGGTCCTGAATCATCCGGTGTGACAACATTAGAAAGGTAGAGTTAATTCTAAAGCAAGCTGCTCTCACTGCACTCCTTCAAACACAAGTTTAAAAAAATAAAAGAGAGAGAGAGATCAATGCAAAACATGTTATATGACTCAATGAATTCATATCTAGAAGCAGTGAATGTGGCACGACTGAGCTTTTAAAGTTTCTTAATGAGTCTGAGAGGATGTTGGTGTATGACTCATCAGTCTCTTATTTTTCCTCCAGCGGCTTTTAAAGCAGCAGCAGCAGCAGCAGCAGCAGCACATGATTCTTTGGGTTCTGTATTGTCCTAAAAGCTCCAAATCAGAAATTATAACAGAAATGTCACCAAAAACACCTGCTTTGTTTATTCCCATTCAGCCGTCTGCCTTGTATTTGGACAGTGCAGCGGGCTGTGAGTCATGG